GAATGCCACAAAGCCACTTTCCTACATTGTGGGATTTGACAATGATGGGAGTGTCAGGGATGTGACACAAAGATATGACCCAGTGTGGATGACTGCAACAAGGAAGAGCCGTGTTGACCGTGAGTGGTGGGAAGACACACTTCAGCTGTATAGAAGTCCCCATGTGGAAAGAGACATGAAAGAGGAAAATGAGGTAAATGGAAACAGGTTATTCAGAACATTTAGTGCCAAAGGTCCAGTCCTTTGGTTCTCATTCAGGCAAAAATCATTAGGAATCTTCATGAGGAAGGAAGTTTGGATTTGAGCTTGAAATGATCATATTGAGCATGTTTTAAAGGGAATATACAAAACAGATTAAAATAATATCAAGTGGGGAATCTTCAGATGAATCTGGATAGCAAACATACTGGACAGTCCAGGCTGGCAACTGACTGTGGTTTCTGTACAGTGTAGCATTACTCTGCTTGGAGAAAGTCTTCAAAATACATAGATCTGGTACCTATCTCCAACAAGAATGCTTTGTTGGCTCATCTAATTAAGTTTCGGGTGTTTTTTTCCTCTGATCCATACTACAGTAATTCTTACTTTCTTATAAAGGGTAGTGCAAGAGAGTAGTGATATCACTCTTCTTTGTACAATTCCTACAGTTTCAAGTCAAGCTTCAAGATCAACCTCTACCAACAGCAATTGGGGAGTACAAAAACCACCCTCTTTATGCGCTGAAGAGACACCTCTTGAAATATCAGGCCATTTATCCTGAGTCAGCTGCTATCCTAGGGTACTGCAGGGGGGAGGCTGTCTACTCCAGGTGAGTGGTGCACCTTGTTATGTGAAACTGTGATCTTTGTAACAAATTGAAGAACTAATTTGTGTGAAGAGCATGGTGGTATCAGCAGTACTCTCAGACCATGTACATAGATAGAGCGAGACATTTAGCTGCTCAGACAGCATTTGCTTATCACTTAGATATAGCTTTTTTACCATTTCTAACATGAATAATAGTTTGGAATTCTTTTATGGAGACACTCCAGAAATCTTATGGTTGCTTCCTTCTGGCCTTTTTAGAGACTGTGTACACACACTGCACTCTAAGGACACTTGGCTGAAGCAAGCTCGGGTGGTGAGGATTGGAGAAGTGCCTTACAAGGTTAGAGTTTGATTTTGTCCTGTGCAACCTGTCTGTCCTCTGAAGTTCAAGCTCAGTTCTGTTTTGTTTTTTGCCTTCTCTGTCAGCAGGTGTAGATTTGTCCCTTGCGTGCATGGCTTGTGATAGCTGCATCGTGAATCTGTCCACCTACTGTGCCTATAGATCCTATATATTCTACCCAAACCCCAATTATCTCTTCATCCCACACCAACAGTGTCTAGCAGAACTGCACCCTTTTCATTTTCTTCAAATGCATCCTAGTGTTTTATATGATCTGCAGGCTCTGGCTCCCTGTTGCACACCAGTGCTGTGGATTATCATTTATAACCAAGAGGTACTGAAGCTAGGAAGTACGACATTTCTTGTCTTCCAGAGCCTTCTCTTTTGATGTCCTAGGAAAGTCTGAAATCACTGGCATTTTCTTACTGTGGTATTATAGGCTTGGTTGTTGTATTTGCACAGATGGTGAAAGGCTTTTCCAACCAGGCCAGGAAGGCACGCCTTGCAGAGCCCGCAAACCGGGACAAGGAGGACCTGGCGCTGTATGGTCGCTGGCAGACAGAGGAGTATCAGCCACCTGTAGCAGTGGATGGAAAGGTAACTAGGGAGGCAGAGAACTGGTGTTAAAAGAAGTATTTTGTATGGAGCTGAGGACTTTATTTTTCCAGAAGTTGCATGTTTCAGAGGTGACATCAGTAATTACATCTGGATTCAGGATTAAGAGTTCTGAAGTAACTGTACCCAGGAGGAAATGGTCAAAACTTCACTGAGGACTTTGTTTCCTGCATACAAGTAATGGGTGCTAGCAATGCAGACTGCTAACTATGATTTTGTTAATGTAATTTTCCCAGCCCATGTTTGTTTTGCTAATTCTCTGCATTAAAGCCTAAGTAACAAGGTTTGGGCAGAGGACATAGCTAGGAGATAACCATGAAGCTAAAATGTAGGATTGTGCCTTGTCACGTGGATATTAATTCAATACTGGGTGGAATGTAGCAGGTCAGGAGGAAGCAGTGTCCCTGAGTTGCAGCAGGGATTTTCACCTCTTTTCAGAGAGCAGGATGACCACCATTTCTCTTTATTTTTTATAATAACAGGTTCCTCGGAATGAATATGGAAACGTCTATCTCTTCCTGCCATCCATGTTACCCATTGGCTGTGTGCAGCTGAGACTCCCAAATCTGAACAGATTGGCACGGAAGCTGGACATTGACTGTGCTCAAGCCATCACTGGCTTTGATTTTCATGGCGGCTACTCACACCCAGTGTATGTGAAGCTTTCTTGTAGCTTTCAGATTGTTATGTCCTGCAGAAGCTGTTAAGAAGTTGTATACCCTGTGCTAAGGAGTACATGTGATGAGTTACAGCCTTAGATCCTATGAAACAGACAGTTCTGTCAAGATTCAGGAGTTTTTGGTGTGGCTGGGTCAGCAGGCATTTGCTCCCTTTCTTTTTTCTTCTAGTAGATGACAGAGGATTATGTTCTCCTTCCTAGTACTGATGGCTACGTTGTCTGTGAGGAGTACAAAGAGATCCTCATTGCTGCCTGGGAGAATGAACAAGCAGAAATAGAAAAGAAAGAGAAGGAGGTGAGAGTTATTTTTGCAGCTTCCTTATTGTTACATTTATTAAGTAAATTTCATTGGAACTGTGGACAGTCAAACAAGGGTGGGATGTGTACACAACAAACACGGAGCTCCATGATTGTGAGGAGGTAGTTGCAGCTCCCAAATGCCCCATTTTGGGCTTCCTGTCCAGGCTGCAGTGGGATGTGATACAAGTGTGTGGCAGTATCTGACAGAGTGCATACTCTGGAAAAGTTTTCCATGGCTGTCAGGAAACAAAAATGAGGAATACACATATGAGGTTGAAGTTTTGGAGGTGGTTCTGGTGTAATTTATGCAGTCATGGTGCACATTAGAAAGTGACAGTAATTCATGTATTTAGCAGATAATTGAACAGCAGAACATTTTACTCTTAAGAGAGTAAAATGGCCTATAATCTTTGAATGAGACACATTGAAGTTGGTATGTTTTATAATGGCAGTTTAGCATCTTCAAACTTCCATTTTCTGAGGGTAGAAATACATTGAAACTGACAACAGTGCATTTTTCTCTTTTCAATAACAATCCCACACAGAAGCGTGAGAAAAGAGCTCAGGGGAATTGGAAGCTGCTGACAAAAGGACTTCTCATCAGAGAGAGACTGAAGCAACGCTACTCCATCAAAGTATTCTGCATTTCTATAAGTCATTTTTTTTTCAGGATGATACTTTTCTGCTAAGACACTTTTTTCCATAATTTCCAATGTGTTACATGTTATGTCTAGCAATAGAGTGTCAAATTTCCAAAGTGTAGGTGCTCAGAAATCTTTCTCTTTCCTGTTGTTAGCATGTGACTAGCAACTAGTTAGAAAAATTCATTGTGGTCATGTCCAGGAAAGAAGATAGTCTTTCCCAAAGCATCACTTTTTTGGTATTATTTTCTGGTTTGACATACCCTCATCCTAGATTTATTCCTCCAGGCCACGCAAGGAACTAACAGGGTGAAAGGGGGCTGCTTTTTTCTTATGAAGTTAGATATTTTCATTCTTAATCTTTGAGACAGGTGAAAGGCATGATCTATTTAAAGCGTGTTTATTTTCATTCTTCCACAGTGAAAAATGTTTTGCTTGTGTTGAAAGAATGCTTGACATCCAGGAATAGAAATACAGTGCTTTGGGTGAGCAGCTCAGACCAGAACAGGCAATTTTTGTAATGTCATTAAGTGTCACTGTGGCAGAAGACAAGCCCTTTCAGAAAGGGGTAGTTACCAGTGATTTCTAGAGCAACTTTCTGATTTTCACACCTGTTTTTTCCAGACTGAGCCATCAGCTCCTGAGTCAGAGAAAGGAGCTGGATTCTCTTCTGATGAAGAAGGAGGTCAAAGTTCAGAGACTGCAGTGGAGAACATGGCCATTTTTTGGCCTCAAAATCGCCAGTTAGAGAAAAAAAAAGAAGAGAAGACAACCAGAAAGAGCAAGCGAGAAAAGAAAGAAGAAGCAGCACAGTTGTTCCCTTTTGAGAAACTGTGATGGGAACAAGTGTTTCTTTGCCATTTTCCAGAGGCAAGAACCCTGGTGACACCAGAAGTATCCCTTGCCAGTTAAGGACTTAGTCTCCCTGTGCACTTGTGTTTCTGAGCTATCAAGAACCAGCCTAATTCAGTATCAAGAGTTTCTTTTGCTGTCACAGGTAATTAGGTTCATGCTTTTATCCTTGGGCTTAGGAGAAGCAGATGTGCAGTTTTACCTTCTGAGAAGATCACTTTGAGCTGTTGAGATTTTTTGCTCTTTTGTATCACTCAGCATTAGAAATTCTGTTTTCTGAGGCATTCCTTTCATTAGCACTGTCTTTTCCCATTTTTACCCTTTCCATTTTTTTCTCCTTGCCCAGAACTAAAGCATGAGGCTGCTATTTCACAGTGTGTGGTGAGCTGGCCAAGGTACTACTGACACCTTCTTTGATTCATACTTTATCCAAATCAGTGGTGAGGTCAAGTCCTAGTCTTACTATCTCATCATCACAGAAGGGGAAACACTTCCTCTAAGGTGTAAAGCACACAATCAAGCTGGGGAGGAATCTGAAAATGCACTTTCTTAAGAATACCTGCCTTTTTGAAAACCCAAATTTTGGCTTTTCAGCCTATAACCTTCCTTTACTTTCAGAAGTCCTGTGCATTAGAAGGGAGAAGCCCTGTCCTCATTTCAAACTTAAGTTTAAATGTCTTACTTAAGTAATTTGAACATATTTCTATTTGTTTTGTTTTACACAAGACCATGTGGATATGTTCTGGAGCAAAACCATGTATAACTGTCTGTCACTGTCAGAAGCAAAATTCATTGCAACCAGAGAGCTCTTGTAAATGTTATCCTGTAGTTAAACAATTTAAAAGCTGTTAAGAGAGGAATGTTAAATCTACACAAGCTTTTCCTGTGGTTCTGTTATAGAAATGCTGATCTGTCTTTTGCAGTGTTTTTATAACTAAATTACACTGACAACTGTCTCTTCAAAAATAGAGGGGAATACAGTTTAGTCATTGCTGGACATTGTTACAGAGGAAAAACTGAAATGCTAGAAAGTGGCTTACATTTAATCCTGGTCAGATAAAATCTATTTTTGTACTGCATTTGTAGAACAAAATAAAGTATGAAAGAATAGCGTTGTGTGTTACACCTCCCCTCCTTCTGGCACATTCCTCTGTAAGCCGCTCTGTTTCCCTGAAGAGCTCTCATGCAAGGATAAGGACACATCATGGTATTTCCAGAAGTCACAAACTGGGTCCCAGGATGTCCCCTTGTTTTAAAGTTAATCATCTTCATGCTGAGTTTTTTAGCTTTTGTCACCAAATTCTAAATTAATTTTTCAAAAAGCAACCTAAGTTGGAGAACAGACCTGGCCTGTATATAAGGCTTCAAGAAAAATTCTCCATCTTAGATGAACTTGTAACACTGCACTGGGAACAGCAGCTGCAATTCCTCCTGTGTTAGTCACTGTGCCGATTAGCGGGCTACGCCCTCAGATGAGCACTTTGAATGTGAGGGCCCATGTCCAGCTCCTGCTGGGACTGGGAATTTTTTGTCTTCTTAAAATGGGAGCGGGTACCAGCTGTACCAAAGCAACTCAGTACTTCCTAATTTGGGACACTCAACACATACACAAAATTATGAGTCTAGGCACTATTTATAGTCAGTGGGAAAAAGAGACAATAACATCTTCAGAGAACAGGATCCTACTCTTCTTCTCTGCAGGGAACCAGCTCTAACCTAAGCATGCAAAAGATGAGAGAGTAAATATGCTTTAGAGGAGACAAAAGCAAAAAGGAAGACGGACAGATCAGGTACATGTTCTGTTAAGATTTCAGTATGGAAGAAAGGGAAATACAGCTTCAGTACTTCCTATGGAAAGGTTTGTGTACCTGCAATGAAAGCAGGCCTGGGAAACATGAAGCTCCTGTCTGGGAAAAGAGCCTTACTTTATTGTGCACCATTCCTGTGCACACTAGTATGTCTGACAAAAGTATTTTTAGCTGTTGAATGCAAAGCTCAAACCTTCCATCTCATCCAGTCAGGTTGAACCATCTTATTTTTCAAATAATCTTACAGAGTCAGGGACATTAACTTCAGTAACAGGGAGTAAAACCACGGCAGGCTGGAATCAGCCTTTCATCCCATAACAAGTATATAGACCAGATAGTGGCTGTGCTGGTATTAGGAACTTGCTTCCCAAAATGGGGAAGTATTTGCATGCTGAACAAACCCCAATTGCACCTTTATCTCAACCAGCAATAGAAAACTATTTCACGTGGAACTACAACCTGAACATGAAACATGCATGCAGTACTTACAGGTAATAAAAAGCCCACAGACCAACCTTTTGAAAACTGTAATTTATTAAATATACAAAAGCTCAGCACTTCCGTAGAAAATTGTATTTTCATCTCTAATACAGTAATGCTGGTTAGTTTCCTTGCAGCACTGGTAAAATAGCAGTCCAACACTTTTTCTCAGTGGACTGCAACTCTTAATGGATGCAGCAAAAGCTGGTGTTGGGGGCAGCAGGAAGGTCACCCAGCATTGCCAACACACGTTGGCTGCGCACATGAGACCATGAGCACTTCCTATAACCTCTGGCTCACTGCTGCCTTTACCAGCAGAACCGAGCCAGGAGACTGAATTGACAATGTTCAAATACTAGAAGAATTAAGGCTAATTCTAATAAAGTAATTACCACTTCTTAAAAAATATATTATTTATAACTCAATTCTCTATTTCAGTACCAAGTGTAGCTAACGTTTGCTCGTACGTACATTCAAGTGAAGTTCCTTTGTTACAAGGGAACACATTTCTCCTGATGGTCCTAATTGGATTTCACAAAGACATGATTTTTTAACTGAATTATGAATACTTACAGGAAAAACAACATATTGTAGTGTAGGGGCACATCTGGAACCCAGACTCTAGCTAGGTGGAGAGAGACTTAATAACAGAGCAAGCTAGTCTCTAATCTCAAGTACTGGTTACAGCATAAATATGTAAACACGAGCCATCACAACACTACAAGAAGACATTCCTCTAACAAAGCTCAAAATTTAGGCTACTAAAATACAGGAAATCTATCAGGCAAAACTGGTTTCATTATTTTAACTTCATTGAGTGCGTTCATTGTCCTCACAAAGTGAAACTCAAAGTGACAGTATACACAGAAAAAAAATTCCTAAATATTTCCAAGCATATATATTCAATTACAGAAGTTGATTTTGTTTCATGGGAACATGTTTCATTTTAAACCTCCCAGTTTCCCCTTAAGTGCAATTTGAGGTTAAATTTCTGAAATTGTACAGTCCACACTATCATTTTGAATGCTTAACCAAGAACAACTTCAGAGCCTTCCAAAAAGCTGAGGGAAATCCATGCTTCCTGAAAAATCTGTCCTACCTCAGAGCACTGCTAAGCTGGCCACTCATTATTTCAAGTTACTTTGAAAATCCTCAGTCCAAAAGCATATATTTTATAAAAGTCTTGCGTGAAATTTGACTAAGGTGTGTTTTCCCTTTGAACACATACACTTCCAAATGCCAAAGAAGTGTATACGATAGATGCCTGTGCATGAAAAGGCAGCAGAGACAGGGTTTGTCAGACATATTTCCTACGGATACCTAATCACTGCCCATATGCTGAAGGTGGCACTTCTTCCATATTACACAAGGTGTCCCAGCTGGCACTGAGGACTTGCCAGTTATTGAATCAGGGAATTAATAATTGGTAAGAGGTATAAATCTGCTTGTTCACCAATTTACAAGGACTACAAACACTCCAAAATGCTCCTTTCCCCAATGCCAATGTCACGGACTTCCCACAAATAGCATCCTATAGCCATATTTCCCATGGATAACGTGTACCAACAACCACATCCGGACGCCCTCTCCAACGCGTGGTGCACAGTGCTGAACTGTGATAGGCTGGAAGCATGCTGCAGTGCCCAGGACAGAAATGCACTTGAGAAGTTTCTGACAAGGACTCAACACAAAACCTCACCACCTTCTTCTCACTGCTGCTTCTTTGGTGGAACACGAGATCTTGCAACCACAATGGGAACGACAGAGAGCAACCCGATGAGCAAAGCCCAGAGAGGGCGGTAGAAGAGCCAGCCAATGGAGATGGTCAGCAGGGACAGTGAGCTGGCTACACAAAAGGCAAATGCTTTTAATCCAATGTTAACCAGGTCTCTGACCACAGGAAACCAGTCCACTGCAGAAAGAATGAAACAAGGAATAAAGTAGTTGACGACTGTTTAAAAAGTCTTATTCACACCTAGGATTTGCACACTAAATATTGCAATCCAAAGGCAGACTGAAATTATTTATCAAGAGCACTGGATGAGGCATTTCAGCAAAGTATCCTCAAGGCTTTTGATAATTAAGGAACAGCTAAATATAAGGCAATAGTATCCTCATGTCTTCAGACAGGAAGTAATCCAAAATTAAGTCTAAAGACTTGTCCAAGGCTTGAGAGGCAGAGATAGCCTTGCAGCTATGGAATAAATCTAGGGCAACTCATGCAATATGCTAGCACAAAAACTAATTTCTGGCAACAATACATCTTGCAGTAGCATGTATATAAATATATTTTTAAAAATGTTCACAGCTACAAAGCAGATGATAGGTTTGATGTCTGAAGTTCATACAGGTTTGAGGCACTGTCCTGCTTTTCTGTAAGTTTTTATTCCTGCATTTTTCTACTTTAAAAGGATAAATGAAAGCTTTCCTTGCTCTTTGTTCACTGCAGTGTACAACAACCAAACACAAAGACATGTTACTATCCAACTACTAATTAAGACCTATTGGGGGGAAGACTGGTGATGCAGAAAGCAGCACCTTAATTTAGACTTGAAAGAACCAGCCCGTGTGCTTCCGCTTCTGAGTTTAGTAATAAGCACTGGGCTTTGATCTTCTGAGACTGGCAATAGATATTTGCATATTTTCTTTCAATGTTCACAAAGCAGCCATCCAGTTCTGGGATCCTGTTCATCTGCAATTGCCTACAGTAACTTTCAGATCCAATTCAATTCGAGTTCAAACCAGATTCCTCATGACCTCAACATTAATTAAATGC